TTTAAATTTTTTAAAATGTTTATCTTATTTTTGACAGAGAGATAGAATGCGAGTAGGGGAGGGGAAGAGAGAGAGGGAGACGCAGAATCCAAAGCAGGCTCCAGATTCTGTGCTGTCTGCACGGAGCCTGACGCGGGGCTCGAACCCATGGACAGCGAGATCATGACCTGAGCTGAAGTCAGACGCTTAACTGACTGAGCCACCCAGGCACCCCCATCTGACATCTCTTACTGCCACCCCCCCCCCAACTCATGGGTGTTCTCCTGGCCACAAGTCTCTCTGACACCCAGGTGCTTTCACTTCTCTCAACCCGCCCGGACTCACCCTGGACAAGCCTTTGCTGATGTACCTACTCAGCTGGACCCCCTTCGTCGCTCCGTGCCTCTAATCCCTTGTGCATCGGACACCATGTCCCTGCCTCACGCCTCTTGTAGTACACTTGTAGGGCTCTAACCCACTTCTGCTGTCCACGGAGCAGTCTTTCCACTGGCCTAGTGCCCCAGGCCCGCCTCCAACTCGGGCAGACCCCTCCCTTGCCCCCCCCCCCCACTTCTCCCCCTCACCTTCCGCTGGGCCTGGTCACTTATGCGCTGGAAAGAGTCTTCCAGCTCCTTTTTCTCTCGTTCCAAATCTGCCTGGGTTTGTCTGGCCACGGACACCTGTTTGGTCACCTCGGCGTTCTGGATGAGAAAAGAACAGTGGGCTTATCTCAGGCGTAACATCTCGGGGACAACATCTCCCTTCTAGAACAAATGACAGCATTCAGGCTATTGGACACAGTAATCACTTTTCTACCTGGAGAGAAGCCAGAATGAAGCTGTCATCTTCAGACACTCAACGCTTAAGTATTTAAAAGAAGAATAACAAGGACGGGGGACAAACCCTTCGGGGCTGGCATCAAAGGTGGGGCCCAAGGCGTGGGAGGCAAGGAAGCCTGAAGAGCTGTGGTTCCAAGAAACGATGGTGAGCCCCTCAGAACTGATGGAGGCACGGGAGTGGCGTGGGGACTGCCCAGGCCGCGGGGCAAGAGGCGGGTGGAGGGTCCTACCTTCCGTAGCAGGTCGGCGTGGTTCTGCACCAGCTCACTGTACTTTTCCTTTAGCTTGCTGTACCGCTGTTCATTGGCCTGGGCTCTCCCTGTTTTGTCAGGGGGCCAAGGTGAGCAGTGGACCCCTGCTGGGGGACCCCGTGCCTTCCTTCCAACACGCCAGAGTCCCTAGAACATCCTCCTTTCTTTTCACAAATGCATGTACCTTCTGCTCCCTGGGAAATCCTACTGAAATAAACTCCTCTGGGAAGTGGTCTTTAAATTTTTTTTTTTTT